CATCCAAATAATATATTTTTTCTATTCTATCTTTATATCATTTATTTATATTATTCTTATTTTTATTCCTTCCTTTTTCTTTTTCACCCTGTCTAAACAAAATAATTAAATATAAAGTAATTTTATAGTTATCTCAAATTTTCTGCCTCTCCATATACTATTTTCTCATTTTTCAACTCAACTATATAAACATCATATCTTTATCTTTTATACAATTAACATAAAAAGAACAAAAATAATATGAGTATTAATAATATACTTTTTTATATTGTTATTTAATTACAAACTGTTACTGTGTTAGGATACACTCTTCAATTATCCCAGTTATAGCGGGTTGGGTCTTGAGTCTCGGTCTTCTCGTTCCTATCTGGGCAGTCCGAAGCGAAGTGAGAGGTGTCTGCAAAGACACTCCGACGCTCAAGTAAGTGCTCGGCGTAATAAACGCGGTAGTTGAAAAGTTAGTTACATACCTCGAAGGGGTCTATTTATAGTGTTTTTTATTGGGCCGTGACTAGGAGCTGGGCCTCGAAAAATTAAGGGGTTAATCCGGCTTATTTCTTAAATTAATCATTTCGTAATCATACTGTTGGAGTCCCGTGGATCGGCCGAGCAAACCGACCACTTTTGTTTTGCGAGTGGTCGGTGTGTTCGGGTATTAGATTCGGCTATTCTTAGATTCGGGTATTCGGTCGGGTCGGTCGGGTCGGCCATGGCCCATACGGTATACAAACCATTATATATATTTGTTAGAATAGTGGATTAAGCCTAACTCAACCCTACAAAACCGGCTTATAAGGTAAGGGTTGCTTTCCACTTATATATTATTCAATTGCCTAATCTCTAGTCGATGTGGGACTTGGGTTTTTCCCAATACACCCCCTCACGTCCAGCACTATTGGGCTTGGTACGTGGATAAATGGTGGGTGGCCCTTTTTAATGATCTAGGATTGGCGGGACTTGGGTTTTTCCCAATACACCCCCTCATGCCTATGAGACATGCATCAATGGTGGGTGGCCCATTTTTAAAGTGGATCTAAATGGCTCTGATACCATGTTAGAATAGTGGATTAAGCCTAACTCAACCCTACAAAACCGGCTTATAAGGTAAGGGTTGCTTTCCACTTATATATTATTCAATTGCCTAATCTCTAGTCGATGTGGGACTTGGGTTTTTCCCAATAATATTAAATTATAATTTTAATAATGATTATCTTAAAAGCATTAAATATAATTTATAAATAATACACCAATAATCCATACATATCTATTAAAGTCAAAGAAAAATAATACACTTTTGCTGTTTTGCATAGACCAAATTGCAATTATTAATTTAAAGGCAGCGATTATCGTAGGCCAATAACTTGCACTATTCGCTAGCAGATTGCAACATTCCTTCTGTAATGCTAGTTAATCATCATCTCATGTCGACCTTTTAGTTATCCCAAAACACAAACAATTATGGCAATTAAGTTGGAGACAAATTAAATGGAGATGCCAACGTGGACTTCATCCATTATATTATACATATCTTAGCCAAGCTTTATCCAGAGTCACAACTTTCAACTCAAAAAAGTGTACAGTAAACTGAATAACACAATTAGTCCCCACAGAAAAAGCAGGTTGCAGTATGGTGGGTCTCACCTCTGAATTTGTCACCCTTCCGATCATAAGGGTAACCTTATACGAGCAACCATTGGTTCGTATTTCCTCACACAATAATATCCACACTTAATTATTTCTAATTAATGCTATCCCATATCCACACTTGTTTTGATTTTTGATCTAAGATACGAGTAATTTTGAAGATAGAATATAAAAAATATATATATATCTAAACAAAATATAGAAATTTAGATTAAAAAATTTGCGACATCTCACTAAAAAGAGATAAAAAATATATAATATATTTGAATTATAAATTCAATTTTATAAATGTTAAAAGTATTTATAAGAAGTATTTAAACACTAAAAGTAACTAACTCTTGATGGGATAAAATAAATAATAATATATGACTAAGTTAATAAATAAAAGAGGATATTTTGGATTCAAACATTTTTAAAAGACAAATCAAAAAAATTTTCACAACTCTTTGATCACTAAGTTTTTCACTAAATAATCTGATTTAGGTAACAGCCTTCAAAAGTCTATCAGTAAAATCTTTGACAATTTCACTTTCTTTCATTTTTACATTTTCAAACTCTCTCCTTAAGTTTAACATTTGCATTTTTTTCGTTCTTTTCTCCATTGGAATTCCTCTTGTAGCTTATCCTATGTCTCTTTTGCAGTTTCAAGAGTTAGAATCTTGATAAATACATCATTATATAGTGTTGTTTCTATAATGATAAGAGCTCTTCCTTCTTTTGCTACTTCATCATTATGACTCCTCATTTAAGCTATTGTTGGTTTTTATTTTTTTATTTTTTGTTAATGGAGGTGAATTACTTCCATTTTTCACTATAACCCACAAATTTTGAGCTCAAAGATAATTTCTCATTTTTGCTGCCTGCAAGTGATAATTTTCACTTACAAATATAGGGAGTAGAGATAAAGAACTACTGCTAGAAGACATTTTTGTGTTTAAAAGTTTTTTTGTATGAATTTTTTTTTGTTGATTTTCATTTTTTTTCCTTCACTCTCATAGGCCTTAAAAATCAACAAACTCTTGATACTATGTTGAAAATAGAACATGAAAAACAAAGGTATATAATTAAACAAAATCTAGGGATTTAGATTAAAAATTTTGTAGCATCACTCATAAAAAGAGACAAAAACTAATATGATATATTTAAGTTATGAACTCAAATTTGCACACATTGAAAGTGTTTATAACAAATACTTAAGTACTAAAACTGATTAACTCCTGATTAGGTACAACAAGTAACAAAATATAACTAAGCTAATAAGCAAATACCACTTATCTACACAACTTACTTTTTCTAACAATTTAATTATGACAATGGAAAAATCTCACATATATTTTCATTATTTACTTTCATGATTGATATATATATATATATATAGGT